TGTTGTTGTGTTGTTGTTGTGTTGTTCATATAGCAGCAGTGTCACAGCACAGTGTGACGCTGCTCACAGTATTCAGCCTCTGGCTCTGCACAAAACCAACATATAGAACTAACAGGGACATATTGATCATATAAGTCCAGACTCTGTGTGTGTGTGTGTGTGTGTGTGTGTGTGTGTGTGTGTGTGTTTCACAGTGTCTCATATACACAATAGATCCCATCGATTCCTCTCGTCTTTCTCGTCTCATCGGCCACAGTCCGTCAGGCTACGTTTTTTTTAAATCACATGAAGCGAACACAGGGTTCACCGAGCTACCGATTGTTTGGCATTTTGTCCACCGCCATCTTGTTTTTTTTAAATCAGAAGTAGCCATAGGCAGGGGGTGGAGCCTAACCATTGGACAGTACTAGCTGTCAATCACACTGTGGTCTCCACCCCCCAAACACATCCAGTTCTTTCTGGTCTGTTTGACTCTAAATGATCTTAATTGATAAATGAACATCAGCTGTTTGAAGAAGACTGGAAACTAGAGACTGAGACAAAAACGAGGAGGAAAGAGGAGGCGTGTTTCCTGAGCTGAAAAGAAACCAGGCTGTTGGAATCTAAAAATGGCCGCCGTGTGAATCAAGTGAATTCATCCCTTTTATTGGAGCCATGTCCCCGAGCTGGCATCAGGCCAGATGTGAATATAAAAACCCATATTATCAGAAATTAATTTGATTCTGACTCAAACTTCTGGATCAGTTTTCAGTGACAGTCGATCTATTCACTTCACTTCTATTTTATTCTGTCATTATGCGTGACCTCCTGCTGCCAAGCACACAAGCAGCACTGTAGCCACACAAAGCATCATGGGAAGAAGAGCGACCGATGCCCTCTGCTCCTGTAAATGCACTTCCCCCATGTTCCCTCTCTTTTCTCTCTCTCTCTTTTTCTCCTTATCTCTTGGCCTCTCTCGTCTCTCCCGTCCGCTGATGAATTGAGCGCTCCTCCTCCTGCTCCCCCTCTTTCTCCCTGATTTCACTCGTCTCCCGGGGCAGTGACGACTCGCTCCCTCGCTCTTACTCTTCTGTGTTGTTTTCACTCACTCAGGGATTCACTAGTAGTCGTCTTTAAAGGACGAGTTCAAAGAAAATATTGACTCTCTCTCCTCTGGTGGCATCAATTCTGTGGAGTTTAATTATTCATTTGATTATTTTACTTCTTGAACAGAAAGTAAACATTTAATAGATATCTATCTCTGATGGAGTGGTTGGTTAATAACTCATCGATGTACATCACTGAAGCCATCAGGCTGCAGACAAGACCAGCTGGTGATTTGGAATCGGTTTTGATTTCTGTTTCTGGATAAACTGTTAAATTAACAGGGACGGGTGATGACGAGAGGCATTTTGGACCAGATGCAGATAAATGTTCTAAGATGCTGTTTTTCACTTTCTTCAACATGGAAGATTTGTGCTGTTTAATCAAAACATATTTCAGGATGCGACTGTTGGTCACATTGCAAACAGCTAAAACTACTTGAACCACAGTAAACAGTTTTAACGTGTCAGCAACACGTGTGTTTCCTCTGCAGATCCCCGGGGCGGCGATGGACCGAGTCAGCCTGCTGTGGCGCCTGAGGCGTCGGGCTCGCCGCGGAGCGTTCTGCATGGCCTTCTTCTGCATCTCCATGGCTCTGCTCTACGCCATCTGTGCTGAAAACAGCGTGCCGGTCACCGACGCCATCTTTGGGGTGCGGGCAAGAACTCGGGCTCAGCCTCGTGCACACTCTGTCATCAAGGTGGGTTTATTCCTCTCTGTCTGCTCTGCTGAGTTATTTCTTTAACCTCTTGCCCTAAAAGTGAAGCGTAACGTCGTCGTCTCTCTGACACCCTCAGGTGCTGCGAGGCGGAGCCAAGCCCATGTACATCGACCCTCAGAAGCTCCCAGGTGTCGTCCCAGGTGACCCTCGCCGTCCAATCCCTGTCCTCTCCTCTCCGAACCACACCCACGAAGTGGTGGACTCGACATCAAAGCGGAAGTCGAGGGATCGGGAGCCCTCTGGGTTTTTCGCTCATCTGCTGCCGCGCCCCTTCACTCACGCACTGGAGACCCTGTTCGGAGGCCGGCGCAGGGGGGAGCTGAGCGGCAGAGGGGGGGACGCAGAGTTCTTCGGGCCTAATGGGCTCCTGGGAGAGGTGTGGGATGATGAGATGTCCAGTAGCATGCTGGGAAACCGACTGAGGAGGGTGGTGCAGAACTATCAGGTGAGAGATTTCAGCTGTTTCAATACGCTCATGCTCCAGGGAGGAGACAACAGGAAGAGATGTTACTGAACATTAATGTTGATATCAGCACGAGTATAAACTTAAACTCAGACTTTGTGACCATTTTGTTTTTCAGTCGATGAACAAATATGGAGTTGAGGTTTCCGGCCCCGGCGGCGTCTCCAGCAGACCGAAGCTGAGCGGCCCCGAGCTTCTCTGCCAGCTGAAAGACAAGACAGAGGTGGCGACCTTGACCTCTGACCTCCAGCCCTTCTCGTCGCTGCCCTGGGCCGCCCAGCTGCCGTCCAAGCCACTGACCTCTGACCTCGGGCCGTACAAGAGCTGTGCCGTGGTGTCGTCGGCCGGGTCGCTCCGCTACTCCGGACTCGGCAAAGAGATCGGTGAGATGAATTTAAATTGTCCGTTTGTCCGTGAAATATAAACACAATAAAAATATAAACACAATAAAAACAGAACAGTAAAAGTGACTCCGGGAGTTTCACTTCCTCTAAAGTATTTATTAAATTACAGACTCCCATGATGCCGTGCTGCGCTTCAACGCCGCACCCACCAGCGGCTACGAAAAAGACGTCGGCTCAAAAACCACCATTCGCCTCATCAACTCACAGGTAAACCAACATTTCTACAGACTGTAAATAAAAATATGAACGTGAACGGTGTTGAGCGCCCCCCGGTGGCTGTCTGCTGTGTAGGTCATCAACTCCACCTCCTCCATGTTAGCGGCTCCACCCCACGATCAACTACAGACTCTAACTGCAAGTTACGTCATTCCCGGAAGATGGCGGCATCTTTTGTGTCTGAGTTCTTTTTGTTTAAATTTTGTACAACAGGAGGAAGTGGAGACGTGTCGTCCATCCTTATTTACAGTCACTGATCGTCTTTACATGTTTGTAATTTTCATGAACGCAAGTTTCTGTCTCTTTGTTTTAATTTCCTTTTTGTTTCATTTCAGTTTGGATTTCTGTATTTCTCAATCTTTCGGTGCAGATGAAAACACTTGAGGTTTTCCTGTGTGCAGGTGATGGCGTCTGACGATCATCATTTCCTGTCCAGCTCTCTGTACAGCTCAGGTGCTCTGGTGGCCTGGGACCCCGCCCCCTTCTCCGCTGACCTCACTCAGGTGATGTTCACCTGCTGAAATGTAAAACGTCATGCTCTGGTTTTAAATCCTTAGAGTCTCATGATGTCTTTTTATTTAACAATGACCTGTCTGAGGTCATGTGGTCACTCTTACTCCATAATTGACCTCTGACCTTTGTTAATCCAGATGATGTTATTAACACGCCCCCTCTTCCCCCTCCCACAGTGGTTCAACAGGACGGACTACCCGATCTTCGCCCAGTACCAGAGATACAGACGACTCCACCCCCTGCAGCCTTTCTACATCCTGCATCCGCGCTTCGAGTGGCAGGTGTGGCAGCGAATACAAGACAACATGGCAGAACCCATCCAGAAGAACCCGCCCTCCTCCGGCTTCCTTGGTACGTGAAGCGTCGGTGGAGCGAAAAAAAAGTGACCTTCCTGTAAATGGGAGGTCACATTTGTTCTGTAAATGCATGAATGAATCAATGAGATAAGAAATTAATGAATTAAAATACACAAAATTACTTGAATTAAATGAAGTAATGATAAATAATCAATCAAATGATTATGACTGTGTGTGAAACTATTTCAGAGACAATTGAGACTTAATGAAAATGAATGATTAAAAATAATGAACACTGTGAATGATTAGTCAAACATTGTTCGGGAAAAAAAAGGGAAATTCAAGCAACTCAATGACAGAGTGTCATTGAGAAACTACCTGTTTCCACAGACTTATTTCACAGTGACAGTGACAGTGACCTCCGAGTCTCAGTCTGACAGTAAAACAACAGTTGCTCCGTCTCCTACGTCTGGTAAATGATTCATAAAAACCTCATTATGTTATCTTCTAAAATCTGCCCAGGCACCGTCCTGATGATGTCACTGTGCGACGTGGTGCACGTCTACGAGTTCCTGCCGTCACGGAGGAAGACGGAGCTCTGCCATTACTACCAGCGTTTCTTCGACGCCGCCTGCACGCTGGGCGCCTACCACCCGCTCCTCTACGAGAAGAACCTGGTGAAGCGGATGAACCAGGGCACCGACCGCGACATCTACACACACGGACGCATCACGCTGCCCGGGTTCAAAAAGATGAACTGCACCCAGGCTGCTGCTGGAGGCCTGATGCACCACTGACTGAGCACACACACACACACACACACACACACACACACACACACATACACACACTTACACACACATGCACCGCCCACGCAGAACCCTGCATGAAGAACACACAACAACGAGGCCAGACGCATGAAAACCTCCACCTCACTGCCGAACAAATGACCGCAACTCACTATAAATACTTATGGGGACATTCCAACTGTAAACTAACCCACTTCTCAAATGTTAAAGGACCATACCGCTGTTTTTGTGTGTGCATCAAATATCACCGTCAAACATCATAATTTTATTTTTTTCTTTAAAACAAAAAAAGACATTTCATATAATCTGGTTTAACAGAAACACACCAATCATCCACCACATTAAAACCAGTCACCTGCTTAAATTTGGTTTTATTATTAACGTCACCTTTGAAAGTGACGATGATATTACGTGCACACATAATTTATTGTTTATTGAGTTTTGGACAAATGGATGTGATTCTTCTCAAATCTCTGCACTGATGAAACTCCACACCTGTACAGACAACCGTGACCTGTTAATATATATATGCTGTAACAGATTCATCCACCGTGAGGAGCTGTGAGTTCCTGCCCGCGCTCTTTCATCTGCACATCTTACTTTAACGTTGAAAAGCTTCACACAGTCGTTCTCTTCCTGATTGGTTCTTATCAGTCACATGACTCGACTACCAGCAGTGAATACAAAGCCTGTAGAGCATCAGGAGGCGGGACATGACGTATAAATTCGGTGAGAATGTGAGAAAACATCTGGAACCTTCCCAGTGAGCGAGTGGGCGTGTTGATGAGGTTTCTAACACGTGACGGACGTGAAACTGGAAGAACACAAATCTCTCAGGATGAAGAAGAGTACGCGTAGAAGACGAAGACGTCCACTTGGAAAGACGAGGAGGTTCCAGATGTTTTGGTGATGAGGGCCGACGCCGGTGTGGACGAACTGTAAACAACAACACTGATCTTTACACAGCACAATTTATACGTCATGTCCCGCCTCCTGCTGCTCTACAGGCTCCGCCCCTCACCTGAATGTCCCCCACGTGTTCCGGTTGTTGTGGACGAGTCGGACAATCGACATTTGAATATGGCTACAGGACAAATAAATGTCCATTAGTGTTCTCACACACAGAACCTCTTTCAGGAACATGTTCACTTCATGTCTGAAAACATCTAATTACTGACGCGGAGCTGAAACACAGATGGTTTTCACGTGGTCGTGTCCTGAGCTGAATTTGAACCAATCAGCACAAACCAAGTCTCAACTCTGTTGTTGTTTTTCTAATCAGAGCTTCATTGTTTATTCACGAGGGAAACACTTGGATAATTGATGTCATTTCATTTCAGAGGAAAACCAAGAGAACGTTTTCTCTATGCAGCTGCACTCGTCCTCCTGCTCCTTTAATTTCAGTGCTGACAGATGAACTCTCTCCCTCGTTGTTCGGCCGTTAATGTGGTTTCACTTTATTTCCTTTTTTTGGTTTGTTTTTTTTAGGACGTGAACTCTCAGCAGCATCACTGTTGATGCTTGTGTTCACTTTTCTTTCAGTTAATCTGAAATCAACGTCTTTGACTTTTTTATGATTCATTTCCTGAAGGGCCACGAAAGTATTAAAAAGCCGTAAAGAGAGTTTTGCTGTTTTTTTTGTTATTTATTTAATGTTATGCTGCAGATTTTTTTTCTCTCAGGCAACAAGCGGTCATTTCCTCTTCGTAGATTAAACCTTCAGACACGACTCGGGGCTGAAAAAGTCCGTGGCCCAAAAATAAATGAACAGTTTTTATTTACATGAATTCTCTGAACAGGAAGCTGAAACTGAGCCTCGATCAAAGATCAATCAAAGCTAACGAAGTAAAAGACAAACCTTTGTGTTGTATATTGATTATTGAGTTTTAAGGTTTGGGCCAACGTTTCTATATAACATCAGGATATTAATCAAAAG